GGCAGGCTGTGTATGTCTCCTGCCATTGACTGTGGTATGACAGGATGCTTAGAGGTCCGGGTGGGGGGTGGGGATGGGGGGTTTGGGAGGAGTAGGGTGTAAGGAGAGAGTGAATGAGAAGTGGCGATGGGGGAGGGGTAGTGAGGGGTGGGGGAGGAGGAGAGACTGAATGAGAAGTGGCGTTGGGGGGGGGGAGGGGGAGGGAGGGAGAATTAAGAAGAGAGGGAGGGGAAGGGGGGGGGGGAGGGGGGAATGAGAAGTGGCGATGGGTGGATGGGTTGGGGGGGAGAGTGAATGAGAAGGGGTTGAAGAGGGAGAGGGCGTTTGGAGAGAGAAAGAAGGGTGAATGGAGAGAGGTTGGTGATGGTCATGAGGATGGTGGATGGAGATAGTGTGATGATGATGATGATGATGAGATGATGATGATGATGATGATGATGACGATGATGATGATAATGTAATTATGATGATGATGATTATGTGATGGTGGTGATGGTGATAATGATGATAACGATGATAATGGTGATGATGATGATGATGATGGTGATAGTGATATTGACGAAGATGATAACGACAGTGAAGATGGTGATAATTTGATATTTTAACGATAATGTGTAAGATGATGATAAAGTCATAATTAGGATAACAACGGATACAATAGAAAAAAAATGCTACTAGCGAAGATAGAAGAAAAAAACGAATAATCAAAAAGAAAACATTCAAAGAAAGAAAAAATATAAAATAACTAAAAATCGATAGAAATATTACCACAAAACAAAACAACAAAAGATAGAAAGAAAATAAAAACAAACAAAATAATCCACAAGATAATCAAGATAAGAGAAATAAATCGAAATCTTACACAACCCTTCGCATACCCCCCTACCCCTCCTCCCCCACCCCCATTCCTCCTCCACCCCCCTCTCCCCAACCTCTAATTTAATTCTTTCTGCGGTCGTAAGCGAAACAGAGAGGAGAGAAAGAGCAAGAGGGAAAGAAGAAAGAGAGGAAGAGAGGGAGAAAGGGTAAATGGGAAAGGGAGAAAGAGAGAAGAAAGAAAGAGGATGAGAGGGAGAGAGAGAGAGAGAAGAAAGGGAAGTAGGAAAGAGAGAAAAAGAGGAAGAAAGGAAGAGAGAAAGAGGATGAGAGGGAGGGGAGAAAGGGCAAGTGGGAAAGGGAGAAAGAGAGGAAGAGAGAAAGAAGAAGAGAGAGAGGAAGAGAGGGGGAAAGGGCAAGAGGGAAAGGAGAAAGAGAGGAAGAGGGATGAGAGGGAGAGAGAGAGGGGTAGGGGAAGTGGAGGAGAGGGAGAGAGAAAGGGAGTAGAGAGAGGAGGAGGGGGGAAGTGGAGGAAGGAGGGGAGAGGGAGAGGAGAGGGAAGGGGGAAAGGGAGAGAGAGAGAGAGAGAGAGAGAGAGAGAGAGAGAGAGAGAGAGAGAGAGAGAGAGAGAGAGAGAGAGAGAGAGAGAGAGAGAGAGAGAGAGAGAGAAGAGAGAGAGAGAAGAGAGAGAGAGAGAAGAGAGAGAGAGAGAGAGAGAGAGAGAGAGAGAGAAGAGAGAGAGAGAGAGAGAGAGAGAGAGAGAGAAGAGAGAGAAGAGAGAGAGAGAAGAGAGAGAGAGAGAGAGAGAGAGAGAGAGAGAGAGAGAGAGAGAGAGAGAGAGAGAGAGAGAGAGAGAGAGAGAAGAGAGAGAGAGAGAGAGAGAGAGAGAGACAGAGACAGACAGACAGACAGATATACAGACATACATCCAAGCATGGAGATAAAGAAAAAGAAGAAGAATGAGAGACAGATAGAGAGAGATAGACAGAGATAGATAGAGAAACAGAGAGAAAAGAGATAAGCAGCAGAAACAGGTTTGTCACAGAGCAGAACCAATAAAGAATGTTCAGATATGCAGATGAGATCATGCGATAGGTCGATTGGCATTTACATACAGTCAGCTCCGACATAAACCTTTTTTTATTGTTGAGTAATAGGCTGATATGCAACTGACGAAGACTATAAATTCATAACGAAATTTGACCGAGGAAGACTTAACCTATTTTTTTCATTTTCGTTTATTCCTTTCTCCCCTCTCCTCTCTCTCTCTCTCTCTCTCTCTCTCTCTCTCTCTCTCTCTCTCTCTCTCTCTCTCTCTCTCTCTCTCTCTCTCTCTCTCTCTCTCTCTCTCTCTCTCTCTCTCTTTATTTTGTTGTATTTCTTTCTTTCTTTTTCCTTTTTTTCTTTTATCTTTTTTGTTGTATTTCTTTCATTTGTGTTATCTTCTTCTGCTGTTTGTTTGTCTATTTAATTTGTCTTTTTGCCCTTTCTAGTTTATGTTTGTGCTATTTCTTCTTCTTTTCTGTCATCTAATATGTTTCCTTTCTTTTCTTCTTATTCCTCCTCATTATCTGTTCTCTTCCCCTTTCTCGTCGTATTTCCTGTACATTTATTTTTTTCTACCTTTTCTTTCTTCTCTACCCACTCGCCTTCCTATTAATTCCTTTTTATCCTGCTTTTCCTTCTCATTTCTCCTCCTCCTTCCCTTCCTACTCCTCCTATTCATCATCCTCATCTCTTTCTTCTTCTCCTCCTCCCCCTCCTCCTTCTTCTTTTTCTTCCTCTTGTTCTCCTTTTTTTTCTTCTCCTTCTTCTTCTTCTTCATTTTCTTCTTCTTCTCCTCCTCCTCCTCCTTCTTCTTTTTTTTTCTCTTCTTCTTCTTCTTATTATATTATTATTATTATTATTATTATTATTTATTATTATCTTATTATTATTATTTTATATTATCATTATATATTATTATCCTTCTTCTTCTTCTTCTTCTCTTTCTCCTCCTCCATCCTCTTCTTCTTCTTCTTCTTTTCCTTCTACTTATTATTTTTATCATTATTATTATTATTATCATTATCATCATTATGTTCCTTCTTTTTATTCTTCTTCATCCCTCCATCTATACTTTCTCCCTCAAATATCTTCTCATTCTCCTCCCTATGTCTTCCATTCTTCCTCTCTTTCCTTCTTTACCGTTAGGCCATTCATCCTTAACCCACTTCACTTATTCAATTATGCTTACTCCCTCTTTCGTCATAAAAAAATCGTTTTCTTTGTTGCTTATTTATTATCATCTTCTCTTTCCCTTTTCTCCTTTTATCAACAATACACCATTTTTTTGCTCGTTTTATACTTATCATTATTTTCTCTTATCCCTTCTTTCTTCCATCATCAAAAGATCATTTCCATTCCTTATTTCATGCATCTTTTTATAGTTTTATTCTTACTTCTCTTCCTCACTTCTTATCGTCTTCTGTCTTTGCTACCTCCCCTCCTTTCACCGCCATCTTTCTTCACTAGGTACTTATTATCTTCTGTATCTCTTTCTCTATTGATTACCAAAGCCTCTTTAGTTCCCTTTCATTGCGAAATCCTCTTCGCCTCCTTCTGCCCTTCCATGCTCTGTTTCATCATCGAATCTTCTTCACTTCTCTAACTCCTCCTCCTCTCCACGCCCCCTTTCATCACCAAATCTTACCTAACCCCTCCCCCTTTCCACGCCCCCTTTCTACGCCAAGTCCTCCCAAATTCCTCCGACTTTCCACGCCCATTTTCATCCCCAAATCCTCCTCCTCCTCCCTTTCCCCGCCCCTTTTTCCTCACCACAGCTTCCTTAATCC